GTACTCTTATCAAAACAATGTGATCATTTTATACATGTTGATTCAAACATGTTTTGGGCTAAGTTTGTTTAACCAGGAAACTTTTTGATTAATGTAAGTAGAAAATTAGTATCACTTGGAAAATTGAAGACGATAACAATAAATGCAAGGAAAACTACAGTTTTATTAAATGTTTTCATCTTCAGAAGCTCTGAGGCTAAGGCCTGCTCTGTTCGTAAAAAGATAGATTAGTAAACATTAGACATTAAAAACCAACAGCATCAAACTGAGACTTTCTCCTTGACGTAAACAAAAGGATTGAAAGGGAATTGAAATGGAAATAACTTTGTCACAAAGTGATTGGTACAGTATAATTTAGTGTAGTTTTTTAAGATGTTTAAAGCCATCTTTACCAGTGTAGTGTCCTTTCTGGGGTAAACACTGTTTTAGTTAATGTGAAGTTGAAGTAAGTAACTTTGCTCATGGTCTAGGGTAAAAACATGTTGGTGAACTAGTAAGAACTAGTGGAGAAAACTTGTAAACCCTCAAAATTTAATCTAACCCAAGGTGAGTTAAGTAACATGAAACTATATTGTTAAAAATTAATGTTTTGAGTGTATTGCTATGGAATTCTTCTAAATTACTAATTCCCACATCGTTAAAAAAAAATATGCCCAACTACTAAAAGAGTTCTACATGTCTGACACTCTCTAGGCATTTTACATATTTTATCTGATTTAATTACGCCTATGCTCTGAGAGAAGTATCTTTATTTTAAAGATAGGAAAATGAGATCTAGAGAGGTTAAATAATTTCTGTAAGATTTTATGACCAGTAAATCTATCTGATTTCAAAACGCATATTCTTAACCACTGCTGTTGTTAGGTGCAGTCAAGTCGGTTCAGATTGACAGCCACCCTATGCACAACAGAAAGAAACACTTGCCGGGTCCTGCGCCATCCTCAAAGTCTTTGCTGTGTTTGAGCCCATTGTTGCAGCCACTGTGTCAGTCCATCTCATTGAGGGTCTTCCTCTTTTTCACTGACCCTCTACCTTACCAAGCATGATATCCTTCTTCAGGGACTGGTCCCACCTGATAACCATGTCCAAAGTACGTGAGATGAAGTCTCTCCATCCTTGCTTTTAAGGAGCATTCTGGCTGTACGTCTTCCAAGATAGATTTGTTCGTTCTGGCAGTCTATGGTATTTTCAGTATTCTTCACCAACACCATAATTCAAAGGCATCAGTTCTTCTTTGGTCTTCCTTATTCATTGTCCACCTTTCCCATGCATATGAGGTGATTGAGAATACCATGGCTTGGATCAGGTGCACTTTAATCCTCAAAGCGACATCTAACACTTTAAAGAGGTCTTTTGCTACAGATTTGCCCAATGCAATATGTTATTTGATTTCTTGAGTGCTGCTTCCATGGGTGTTGATTGTGGATCCTAGTAAAATGATTCTTAACCACTAAATGTACTAAAAAGGACAAGATATGAAGGAATGCTGTAACAGAAGTCTAGGATGAGGTCTGTTGACCCAGGGGCATGTCTTTGGAAAGTAATTCCTAATTTTTTAGCTCTAGGAAATGGAAAGTTGTCCAAATGGACACCAAATGTATGGAACCTAAAACAGCTATTCTAGGCCCCATTTCATCACAAAGCTGTTCGATTTTAAAGTATAGCTCCAGTGTTCACTTCACTTAATTTTTATCTTAATTTTTGGCAGTATTTATTTTCAAAAAATAGATTTAAATTCTTGCCATAGCATGTTACCACCTCACATACAAATGAATATAATAATAATCCCTTGCAAGTTACAGTATACAACCTTGGGGCATGAGAACAGCAATATAATCCAGAGTAAATAGGGTCTGGTTTGAATTTGTTTCCTTATAGTTGTTGTTGTTAGTTGCTGTCAGGTTGGCTGAACTCATGGTGATCTCACGTACAACAGAATGAAACGTTGCCCAGTCCTATACAATCTTCATGATCATTGGTATGCTCAAGTTCATTGTTGTGGCCATTGTGTGTTTTGAGTGCCTTTTAATTTTCTGTTGTTGGGTGATGTTGAGTTAATTCCGACTCATAGTTACCCCATGTGACAGCGTAGAACTGCCCCATAGGGTCCTCTTGGCTGTAATCTTTACAGGAGCACATCGCCAGGTCTTTCTCCCATGGAGCTGCTGAGTGAGTTCAAACTGTTGACCTTTTGATTAGCAGCCGAGCACTTAACCATTGTGCCACCAGGGCTCCAAACAAAAAAAAAAAAACTGTTGCCATCAGGTTGATTCTGACTCATATTGACCCTATAGGACAGAATAGAACTGCCCCATAGGGTTTCCAAGGAGCGGCTAGTGAATTCGAACTGCCAACCATTTTGGTTAGCAGCCAAGCTCTTAACCACTGTGCCACCAGTGCTTTTCAATTTAGGGGGCTCATTTTCCACCACTGTATTGGACAATATGCTATTGTGATCCATGATTTTCATTGGCTTTTCTTTCTAGTCTTAGTTTGGAAGCTCTGCTGAAACCTGTCAACCATGAGTGACCCTGCTGATATTTGAAATATCGGTAGTATAGTTTCCAACATTATAGCAACATACAAGCCCACATAGTGGGACAAACTGACAGATGGGTGGTGGTTTCTTATAATCGATAGAGGAAATGCATTAGTGATGATCCAGTCATAACTCCTTTCCTTGCCTAATCCTTGGCAGATTCTAGGCAAGGTGCATTCCGGAGAATAATTTGAAGGTTATAAGATAGACAAGTGATCCCCTCCCGTTTTTTTAGTCTAAGTTTTCTCTTTGGATTAGTGCATATCATTAGAGAATTTTGTTTTCCTTGCTCCCAGAAGAATTGCAATTACTAAGTTCCTTTCTATTATCCACGGTGGTGTAAGTGGTTTGTGCTCTACTACAACCTAAAGGTTGGTAGTTTGGACCCACCAAGTGGTGCCATGGAAGAAACACCTGGCAATCCGATTCTGTGACGAGTATAGCCAAGAAAACCCTATGGAGCAGTTCTACTAAGTAATACCTGGGGTCGCCATGAGTCGGAATTGACTCGACAGCAATGGGTAATTATGAAATTGCCATTTAAAACGTGCTAATGCATTTGTTAAGGAGCCCTGGTGGTACAGTGGTTAAGCACTTGGCTGCTACCCAAAAAGTTGGTAGTTCAAACCACCCAGTGGCTCTGCAGGAGAAAAGACCTGGCAACCTGCTCCCATAAAGATTGCAGCCTAGGAACCCTATGGGACAGTTCTATTCTGCCATATAGGATTGCTATGAGTCAGAGTTGGCAGCACCTAACAATAACAACAACAATGCATTTGCTATAGGGATGTTGTTCAGGACATCACTCACTATAGTTACTCATTGGCCCTTACAGAAAGACCACCATGTAAGATATTTTTCATCCTGAGTGTCAGAAAAAGCTTAGTTATTATTATAACTAACCATGTTTTTTGTTTTTTCTTTCCCATTTTGGCTGCCAGGAAGCTAACTTTTATTTATCTATGTTTATTCTGTTGTCGCATTTGTGTAAGATGCCTCAAATCATGGCGAGAAATAAATACTGTAGAGCGTCCAGGGAGACTTTTTTTGTACTTTGCAAAGATTCGAAAAATTTACCTAAATCATTTATCTAGTGTGTTTATTAGTAAAATCAAATGTACCTACTTGTTTCTTGCAAGTTGTGCTCATGTGAATTTGATATTATATAATCCAACGTTAACTGTATGCCAAGAATACTTAAATATTACTTTAATGACTTTTAATTGCACTGATATATTTATCTTTATTATTATTACTGTTTTCCACTTTAAGACACAATTTATTTTTAATTCTGGGAAATTACATTAAAAATTCTTTGCAGCCTGCAATGAGAGTATCTTGGTCTTTGGTATCTAAGAATGAGCTATGTTCATTTGTTTCTTTTATTAATCTCAATCAAACGATCGCTCATGATTTCTATGATACGTCTGTCTAAATTAAGAGTTGATACTTTATGTTTGAAAACCTCTCATTTTGGGAGTATAATCTAATTGGTAATTTTAATGAAATTAATTTATTATATATAAATATATGTTTACATTTATTTGTTCATAAATGTTTTTGTTATTTTTTGGGTATATCATTGCTTTCTATTTATAATATTTCTTGTATTTGTTCATTTTTGTGATACTGTTCTTTATCTGGTAATTTGAGTAAATCCCAGTTGAATTATGTTGCCACATTATGTCTTCAAAAGGGCATAAAGTCAGTACACATGCTTCAGTAATATCTGGTTGTTTTACCCTTATGTTTCCAGTTGGCAATTTGAAATTACGGCTTCAACTGCACTTTAAATATGTGATAATAGCATGTGTTTCTAATAAGGGCCAGCACCATTTTGTTCAGATTGTGTGAATGGTTGTCACTCATATATGACAAATGCACCTTCATCTGCTTCTTTGATAGCCCCCTAAAAACCATACCCTCAAATCAGACCGATGAAATTAGCTGCTGTGTAAATTGTGTGTCTGAGTGGTTCATTATCTAATCACCGTCAGAACCACACTGATAAAGTAGATTGAAGCAGGGAAGAGGTCTGCCAGATGATTTCAGGCCTTCTTCCCTCCCCTCACCCCGCAAATCTGGTTTCCCTTGGAAACCCTAATAGTATAGTTTAGAATTTCAGGCTTTCATGCCTGGAATTCAGTATCTTTTACTATACCAAACTTGGAAGTGCTAGTAGTTCGAGAACATAATTTTCTTTCTGTAAAGACCATAATTTTATTTATTCGAATCAGTTTTCAAAATGTTGAGACTCTTGAACTACCATTTTGTTTTTAGTGCCCTAAATATTGCTAAGTGGGGGAAAAATACTATGTCCTACATGGCATAGAATTTAGAATAATTTATTGACTATAGTTATTTTTTAACCTTCTAGGAATCTTTTACTCCTACTCACTCTAATTATAATGACCCTATATATTGTTTGTTTATTGAATTCCTTCCCTTTAATTCATTTTAGGTGCATTTGAAGATGATGATATCACGCATGTTGAAGGAAGTGTAGATCCTATTCGAGATATAGAAATAATACATGAAGAGCTTCAGCTCAAAGATGAGGAAATGTTTGGGCCCATTATAGATAAACTAGAAAAAGTGGCTGTGAGAGGAGGAGATAAAAAACTAAAACCTGAATATGTAAGTAAAAATTTACAGCTTCTTTAGATACCTGAGTTCATTTTCTTCATTAAAAATTGTTTTTTTTTTTATAAAGCACATAAAATATCAAATATTCTTAAGGAATTTCAAAATCCCAGGGTAATTTCTGCTTAAAAAATTGCTTAAAAAAACTATTTTGGCGGCAACAACCAAAGGTTGTGGTGACAGGCTACTTAAGGTGCTGCTTTATATGGTTACCAAGTAAACCCTTGAGTTTTAGTGTTAGAGAAGTGTAGTTTATGGTAAAAAAAATTACTGGATTTAGAGAAGTGACTGAATGTATGCGTTCTGTGGATTTGAAGACATGAATAATAGAAGGAATTAGTCTTTCATGGGGTATGACTGAGTGAATGCACTATGAAAGTAGACAGATGGTTTTAATCTTTTGTGGAGTAAAAACACAAATCACTGTCTTAAATTGAAATATGTTTTCTGTCACATGATTAGTGAATAATTATTAGCAACATTATAATAAATGTTTGAAAGTCAGTTTTGAAGTTTTTAAATTTAAATATGATCAAATTGTCTTTTACATAAAAATCAATGCCTTAACTGTATTATTTTCTCACTTTTCAAAATCTTCCATAAACTGTTTTGTTTTTTATGTTCCTTTGCCATAGGAAAAATTCTTTTCCTCCCTTCCGTTTTTTTTTTTTATTTATTTATTTAAAACAATTACAGTTTTATTGTCAAAAAAAAAAAAAAGAGAAGATACTAATGAAGAGATGCATAGGGCAAGGGCCGGGAGTGTCTCCGACGTGAAGCTTCATATTCCAAAAAAGGGATGCATGACCCTCCCAAGCATTGATATTTTTCACCAGCCAGGAAGCTCATGGAGATTCAGTGTCCAGGGCTTTTACTGGGGTCTTATTATATAGGCATGATTGATTAGATTTTCTGTCTTTTAAATTTTTTATATTTATTTTTGATTTTTCTCATTTCCAGAAACTGATTATTGCATCTTTCCCCTTCATCAATTATATTTAATAAGTTTGGAAAACTCACAGTTGAGTAAAGAGCTCCACATTATTAAAGAAGAAATCAGTTACAGAATCAACCTTTAAACTTAGGCATACTCTCAATATAATGGTTGAAAGCAGTGGCATCACAGTGGAGGTGTGGACTGCACCGAGTAACTGCCAGAGGGGGTGACCACAAAATGACTGTCCATAAAATTTTTGTGCAGTGTTTCAGCAGAAACTTAATATCTTTTATAAAAATATCCCTGTAGTTAGTTACAACAACAAAAACATTTTTAGTAAGCCCAGCTTACATATGTCAATATACTTACAAGGCTAAAACTCTATGCTAATTTACTTTTTGAACCTTCTAATGTGCTCCAGTCAGAGTTTTCATTATTGCCCAATTACAATGACAGTTGGAATCACGTGGTTTCATCTTCACATGCTACAAGCATGTGCTGTCGTGTTTATTGCTTGTTGACGTTTTTATAGTTGCTGCTTTGTCAAATTTTCTGATGTTTTACCTACAATTTTTGTAGTAATTAGTATTTGTGAACCTATATTAGTAACTTTTTTGAAAATGAAGTAGTAATTAAAGGAAAAGAAGGAGTGACATATGGGAATTATGATTTATGAGTAACATTAGTACAAAAAACATTGCTAAGGATTCTGTATGGTCTGGTATGGGAGGAGGTCTATGGGGACGGTGACACCATGAGTTACTGCACTGGGTGACACCAACCCTAGTGACACTGCTGGTTGAAAGTTCCCTGAACTTGAAACAGGAGACCCATGTTGTGCTGCCGATATCCTTGATAGTTTGGAACAAGCCCAAAGCACTTTACTTCTTTTAATGTCATGGTTATTTCCTATTCAAATAGATCGGGAAAAGGAAAGAGATTTGTCTGAGGAAACTGTACAAGACTTAAGAAGGAAAAGGGGCATCAAATGTGTAGGTATGATAACTATTCCCCTTTGAAAAGGAAAAAAAGAATTGCGAGAAAGAGATGTTGAGATTCAAAGTGATTTATTTGCCTCAAACATCATGGTTACTGATTAGAACGAATCCTTAGGTAGTCATCCTTTAGTTATATGAGATATAACTTACATCTGTAAGTCTTTTAGAAACGTTAACTGTCTTAAAAATAAATTTTATCAATTTTGCTTTGCTTACTGTGGGAGAAAAGGGGTCTCAGACTCTTCTGAAATTCTTGAGCTACCATTTCCTGGCTTATCCTCTCAAAGAAAACCTGAATGTTCAATGCTGTTACTTTAACAACATTTTCTTATTTCTCACCAGTTTCCTAAAATTTCTGTACAAGATTTGAGAGCATAGTATGGATTTGTGCTTACAGAGAAATCTAAACACCTTCTCCCTAGTCATCTTTCCCTTCAGTGTCAGGCTCATCTGGGTGGATAGAAAGCATTATAGCCTAAGTTTCCCATCTTTTTTTCCCCTCATATTTGATTCAGGTGCTTCGGAATAAACTATAGATCAGTGTTTCTCAACTTTTTCTTCATTATCACCTCACCTAAGGAATAATTAAATTATATTTTTCTATTTATTGAGCCAGGCACTGTTGGACACTACGTGTTATCTTAGTTAAACCTCACAATAACCTGAAAGGTATATATTATTATTATCCCCGTGTTACAACTGAGGAAAGTCAGATTTCAAGAGGTTTTATGAATTGTTCAAGATTTCACACTTAGTAAAATGTAGACAAAGATTTTCAACCAGATCAGTTGCTCCAGAGTCTGTCTCCCCGCCCAACATTTTCTTTTAAAATTTTTTAAAAAATGTGACACACAAAAAAATGTATTAACCTCATATGTATAGTTTAACAAGTAGTTGTTAAGCAAACACTAGTACTACCCACTTCACACATCAAGAAATAGACATTATTAGAACTCTAAAATTCTCCCGTCTCTTACCAGTTTAAGTCCTCCTATCCTCTCACAGCTAACCACTATTGTGACTTTTATAGTAATAATATTCTTGCTTTTCTTATACTATCAGTACATGTGCCCCCTAAACAATAGGAGTTAGTTTGGCCTGATTTTAAACTTTATATAAATAATATCATAGTGTGTGTATGTGTGTGAGCACGTTTTATTTAACATTGTTTGTACAGTTTGTCCATGTTGCATTTATCTTTTAATTAGTTTATTTTTCTTGCTGTAAACTATTTTATTGAAAGAATACCATAAGTTTTAAATCTATTCTGTGGACAGGCCTTTGAATCTTCCCCTACACCCCAGTTTTTGATAATTATGAACAATACTGCTATAAACATTCTTTTGAATTCTGGTGTACATAGGGTCCTGTTGTCATTAACTGTCATTGAGTCCATCCCCAACTTATGGTGACTTCATGCATAGCAGAACGAAACAATGCCTGAGCCTGCGCCATCCCTACAATCTGTTGCGGATGGGACCATTGTGATCCATAGGTTTTGCATTGACTGATTTTCAGAAGTAGATTGTCAGGCCTTTCTTCCTAGTCTGTCTTAGTCTGGAAGCTCTGCAGAAACCTGTTCCGCATCTAAACAAATAATTTATTTTATAAGAATTAGCACAAAGCTGGTTCCTGTGAGGCACATGTTAAAGATGTCCCAAATGTCCTGCTTTTCCAAGCTGCTGTACCACTCCATCATCTCTAACATCAACTACTCCCTCTCCCTTCAGTGCTGTATTTCCTGTCTCTGGGTTCCCTAATTCGCTGCAATGTCTCACGGAACTCATGAACCGTTAAAGGAAATGACTCACATTGTTGTGGAGGCTGGCAAGTCCCAAATTCATGGGTCAGGCGTAGGCTTCTCTCTGGTCCTCAGTCTCTGCCCAAAGGCACTCAGCTTTCTCGCTCCATGGGCCGGGAAGCCCACTGCACCGTCTCCTGCGGGTCTCTCCTGTGGGTCTCTCCTTCCTTGGCAGTGGTGAGCTCTTCTTTCTGCTCAGGAGTTGGCTCTTTTAAGGCAAAACTGACCAATCCCCTTGGTGGGCCACAATTACCTTATTTGTACAGCCCCACCCAATCACCTGGGTGGGAGTTACAGGACTGTGGTGAGAAGGGCCATACTAAGTAACTCATCACACCGCAACTTCGTAGCAACACTGACAGATGGGTGGTAGCTGTGTATGAGTGCATTGGCCAGGAGTCGAACTTGGATCTCATATAGAAGTGAGAATTCTACCACTAAACCACCATTGCCCCAATGTAAGCATAGTCTGTCCTGAAGTATAACACTGTCAGTTATAGGATAATATCCATACGCCTGCAAGGAAGACCAGTTAATACGACTGTTATTCAAATTTACACACCAACCACTAATGCCAAAGATGAAGAAATTGAAGATTTTTACCAACTTCTGCCATCTGAAATTCATCAAACATTCAATCAAAATGCATTGATAATTATTGGCGATTGGAATGTGAGAGCTGGAAACAAAAGAAGGATAAGTACTTGCAAAATGTGGCCTTGTATAGGAACACGCTAGAGATCGCATGATAGAATTTTACAAGACCAGTGACCTATTCGTTGGAAATACATTTTTTCAACGACATGAACGGCGACTGTACACGTGGACCTCGCCAGATGAAATATGCAAGAATCAGATCGACTACATCTGTGGAAAGAGACAATGGAGAAGCTCAACATCATCAGTCAGAACAAGGCCAGGGACTGACTACAGAACAAACTATCAATTGCTCGTATGTAAGTTCAAGTTGAAGCTGAAGAAAATTAAAACAAGTCCACGAGAGCCAAAGTACAACCTTGAGTATATCCCACCTGCATTTAGAGACCATCTCAAGAATAGATTTCATGCATTAAACACCAGTGAACTAAGACCAGACAAGTTGTGGGGTGACATCAAGAACATCACACATGAAGAAAGCAAACGGTTATTAAAAAGATAGGAAAGAAAGACCAAAAATGGATGTCAGAAGAGACTCTAGAACTTGCTCTTGTATGTAGAGTAGCTAAAGCAAATGGAAGAAATGATGAAAAGCTGAACA